CGACATATTATGACCTTGCGTTAAGGCCGGATCGCTGATTATGCTATGTAACGCTGCTTCCATTGATGCATTGTCTAATCCATTACATGGAGTATCGCATTGTGCAAAACTAAAAGGGGAGAGAGGAGAGAAAGGGGGGGGATGGAAATCAGCGGGCGAGGAAGCCGCCGAGAGAGGCAAGGACGACACCACCGAGGCCGCCGCGAGCGGCAACGACGACACACCACCCGTTTTGGCCCCAAGGGCCCCCGCCGGCGTCCCCCCCAGCCCACGGCGCCGGCCATGAGCGCGCAAACCCACGCGCCCGCGTGAGATGAGTTCCCAGATCAACGAACAGCAATCGCCGGTCAAACGACCGATGAGAACAACCCACCCAACGACTACGCGAGATACACCGAACACCAAAATAACACGAAAAACACGAAAAATCACAGACGCATAAAAGGTACACCCGTCAACTATGGCGTCCGGAAACCGTCTTAGTGAGAAGCCTCGAAAGGCGTTAAACGAAAAACCGATACACTTCCAGTCGCGGTAGAGCGCTAATGAATTGGTGATGCAAAGATCTCTCTGCGCGCTCCTAGTGGCGGGCGATAGAACCTTCGCTAGTCAGACACCTTATATGTGCTATAATGGAAAATAATAAAGTAAAATCAAAAAGAAATACTACATAATGTTTTGTGGCACAATACCATAATTATAAACAGAAGGGGATCAGTTTTTAAAACAATTTTCTTTTTTAAGTGATGAAAACTGATCCCCTTCTGTTTATAATTATGGTATTGTGCCACAAAACATTATGTAGTATTTCTTTTTGATTTTACTTTATTATTTTCCATTATAGTATGTATAAGGTGTCTGACTAGCGAAGCTTCTACCGGCCTCCACTAGGAGCGCGCAGAGAGATCTTTGGATCGCCAGGTGCGCGATGAGCCTCTAACCCCTGTTTTCACTAGAGACCTAGAAAACAGAGATGCGTCATTGAAGGGTATGGCTTGATTGGCTGTCTAAATCACGTGATCAGAGAGCCATTTTAATTCACTATTGCATCTAATAGATATAGTTTTATAACGTATGTACATATATATATATATAGAGAAAAATTTAGACAATACAGTATCGAAGTACAATAAAAAACTATTATTATGGTGTAAGTATTCTTATTTGTGTGAATATTTAATATCAGACTTAACCTAACCTAATCTAATCTTTCTACCTTTTGCATCAACTGTCATCAGCTTATTGGTCAAGAGCACTTATATTGAATTAAAATAGCGGTGGTTACCTAACCCAACCGACGCAATGTCGCATCTCTGTTTTCTAGGCCTCTAGTTTTCACCAATTCGGTTTAAACCTGAACTTCTAGTAATATTTAGCTAATCTCAGTTTATCGTACATTCATCGTTTCCACCAAATTCGGTCAAAAAATTGAACGCGGTAAAACTGAGTTTAATTTGAACGATCATTTTTGGCCGTTTAGCTACATTGAACGAAATTTAAAAAAGTAACTAGCTGTAAGATCGTAAAGATATAGGTTATAATAAATAATTATACCTGTTTTATATAATTTATTTCTTTTTTCAGCATAGTATTTTCGAGTCCTCTTTTTTAAATTTTCCCAACAATTTTTTAATGTTGATGTATCACGAAATATACTTGACTCACTATTATATTTCTTGCAAATATCGTCCCAACATTTATTTTTTCTTTCGTAAACACTGCATCAGTTTTTTTATTTTCAATTATATGTTTATACTACATTATCAGTTCTATCAATAAACATTTTTCTGTATCAGAAAAATTCATTCCTCTTTTATTAGTACTCATTTTTACGAACGTTATAATGAGTCTTCTTCTTCTTCTTCTTTAATTTTATTGGCCAGGCAGCCGAAGGGCTGAACTATAGGCTGAACTGAAGCCATAATCGACCAATCACTGGTTGTTCAAGAAGTTTTATCGCATAGAGTATAAGTTTACTTAAACGACGCTTATCAAGAGTTGGTAGAATAAAATTACATTTGAACCAAGTTTAAACCAACGTTAATTTTAATCGAAGTTTAAGTAAACCTAGATTAATGTCACTAATGGTGAAAACGGGGGTAAGGGCGTTAAACACGAACCGACACACTCGCAGTCGCGGTAGAGCGCTAAAGAATAGCGCGATGAGCCTTGAAAGGCGTTGAACGCGAAACTAACACACTCGCGGTCGCGGTAAAGCACTAATAAATAGCACGAGGAGCCTCCAAGGGCGTAGAACACGAACCGACGCACTCGCGGTCGCGGTAAAGCGCTAATAGACAGCGCGAGAAGCCTCTGCGGGCGTTGAACGTGAACCGACACACTCGCGGTTGCGGTAGAGCACTAGCGAATAGCGCAATGAGCCTCGAAAGGCGTTGAAAAAAAACCGACTCACTCGCATGGTCGAAGTAACAAAGTCTGCACATATCCATGATAAATATTCGTCCGGTTCTGCGCAGGACTGAATTCCGCCGATTTTTTGTGTATGTGTCTGCACACAAAATCATTTTTAAATATGTTTTATATATATGCGCGCAATATGGCGGAATTCAGTCTTGCTTGCTATTGGCTAGATATAAATGGCTGCGCAATAGCAGATCTAGAGACCCTCTAATCAGAGTCGCGAAATAACGTTTCCAATTTTAATTGGTGCTGACATTTTTCAGCAAAAACCGGAAATAGTCATGGCGTCAAATTTAAATCGACTTACATTCGCTGCCCATTTTGCTCTTTTTTCAGGATTACGAGGAAAGACTTTCATAATATAACCCTTTTTTGCAGAATTATTGCAGTCTGGCGCAGAACAACCAGTCATTTTAGAAAATATAATTTTATGAAATACAGTATTAATATAAAAAATATAATAATGTAATTTATGATAAATGTATTTAGATTCACATGTATTAGGTGTTAATGTATCACAGTCATAGTCTTTTCATTGAAACTGCGATGGCGCTCGTACGTGCAGTAGTATTATATTTCTCTTCACGCGTGCACGTAATGTGCCCTACACAAAAAAAAATTCTATGTGTAACAGTGGGGGCATATTTGTTTATAGGTCAACACGGGCGCGTGTATGTACTCGCTTTGCTCGTGCCGTCGCGTCCGTCCCCACAATAAACAACTTTCCCCTACTATTACACAATGTACTATAATCGCTACTTCCGGTTTTTGCTGAAAAATTGTATCGTCGACTTAACCTTATTGACGTTATTTCGCGACTCTGATTAGAGGGTCTCTAATTTGGAACCGTTTCGTTCTCTCTCGTTTCGCGCATGCGTACCCTAATAGCACAAAGTCGTCTCTAACATAAGTCGACTCTGAGTCGACTTATGCTGCTAGAGGTCTGAAAATAGACGTCCATATGTTGACTTTAGACAACTTAGAAACGTCTCCAAGTCATACAATGTCCCACTTTGAAGACGACTGTAAGTCAACTTTAAGTCAACCATCATGCGGACATATACGTGCGGCTTTCTGACAAGTCGACTTAAAGTTGACTTAAGTCGACTATTTTACAAATGTCTACTTCTTGATGTCCTAAAGTCGACATTTAAAGACGTCTATAGACGTCTGAATAAAGTCGACTTACGGTCGATTCTAAAGGGCCTGACTTAACAAAGTCGACTTGTAGTTGACATATCTACATTTGTGCTGTTAGGGTATAGCCGTATACTCTGAGAGAGGAGATTGAAAGAAAGAATAAGGAATTGAAAGAGCAACCCTTGGCACTGGGAAACCCTTAACCTTATCAAAGTCAATTCTTTGTTTGATTCCAAAGAGATCAGGCTTGTCCGGTCATTCTTGGAAAGCCAAAAGTTTCTTTCCGCGAGACTTAACTAAACCATGTGAATTTGACTATCTTTATAAGAAACAATCTGGTGGTGCTGGCCAATATGCTCGCATAACTGGAATTATAGAGGTATAAATAATAGATTTTTATCATTAATATTTATTGATATTATTCATCGAGAGCCCTTAACCTTATCAAACTCAATTCTTTGTTTGATTCCAAAGTGATCAGGCTCAATCAGGCTTGTCCGGTCATGTAATGATGAAACTTTTCTCGTTCGACTCGTTCTTTCTTTTGATCCCCTCTCTCAGAGTATATGGCTATACGCATGCGCGAAACGAGAGAGAACGAAAAGGCCCAAATGAGTGCGTCCTTTTCTAGATAGGATTACCCCCACTCCTACAATGCATACTCTAGTACTACTATTTCTATGACGCGAACCGACGCACTCGCGGTCGCGGTGAAGCGCTGATGGACAGCGCGTTAAGGCCCGATTGCACCAACGTTATTTTTGCTTAAAGCGAAGCTTAAAACTTTAAGTTTGTTGCACCAAGATGTATGTGACACTTGAATTGCTTTAAATTTCACTTATCTTAAGCGGTGATTTCAGTACCGCTTAAGAGAATTTAAGGAACAGATATTACTGCTACAAGCCATATTGGCTGTATTACTACTGTTCACGTATGAATTATTTGAGGTTATTAAAAAATGGATTTAGATTTCGATGTACTAGATGATGATGAATTAGATGCATTTGATTTAATTGTATACGGAATACCGCGAAATATACATGTACGTGCTGATTATTTTGAAAAATATGACGACTTAAACTTTTTTAGAAGATTTAGGTTACGAAAACAGTCCGTTATTAATATATTAGAACAAATTCAAGATCGCCTAGAGTATACACATAACAGGTAAAATTTCCTTATTAATCCAAAATTTTTTAAACGTTTTTGACATTACTTACAAAATGTTTGTAACATAAGGTTACAATATGCTACTATTATAATATATGTTAATTACAAATGTTACAATATATTATAATTATCTATGAACATATTTCTTTAAAATATTATTACTAAAAGAAGAAATAATTTTGCTCTTTTCTAGAAATAATCCGGTAACACCAATGCAACAATTGCTCATTGCTCTACGTTTATACTCAACTAATGGATTTTTGATAACAATGGGTGATTATGGTGGAATGGATAAATCTACAGTTTCAAGAATAATGGTGAGAGTGTCTGAGGCTATAGCTTCATTGGCAAACATTTACATAAAATTACCACAAACACAGGAAGACATTTTACGAACTCAGAGAAATTTTTTTAATATTGCTGCATTTCCAAAAGTAATTGGTGCCATTGATTGTACACATATAAGAATACAATCTCCAGGTATGTTATTGTGCTCTGTGTATTTCATCAATGTATTTTCTTGTTTAAAACGTGCACTATATATGTATATATAGTATATTATGATCTATATTTAAAGTATACTTTAAATATATAGACATATGTCCATATACTCAAAGGATCATTATATAGGCATACATAATATATATAGATATTCGCATTCTATGTATGTATGTACATATAATATAGGTGGTGATGATGCAGAAGTTTTTAGAAACAGAAAATCATATTTTTCCTTTAATGTACAAGTTGTGGTAAATGCAGATAATGAAATAATGGATATTGTAGCTCGATGGCCCGGCTCTGTTCATGATTCAACAATATTTCAGAATAGTAATTTAAAAATGCTTTTTGAAACAAATCACTTTCACAATTGCTTATTATTGGGTATGTGATTGTAATTATATTAGATACTCTATATGATTTTAATTATATAAAATAATATATGATTTATGTTATTATGTGAGCTTTTTTATTTTGGCATAATTAACTATTTATTTATACAGTTATAATGAATCTTTCTGTTTCAGGTGATAGTGCATACCCTGCAAGACCTTATTTATTTACACCATTACTAAATCCTCAAGGCCCTGCTCAACAATTATATAATGAATCACATATCAGAACAAGAACTAGAGTAGAACACACGTTTGGTCTTTGGAAACGTAGATTTCCAATATTAGCATATGGATCTCGTTTACAAATCAATACAGTAATGACAATAATCATAGCAACTGCTGTATTGCATAATATAGCACAACGTCAAGGGGAAGATATTCCTCCACCTGTTGATGAAGAATTTGATATTTTAGAAATTATTGCACATAATCGTGTACCAGTTCTTCCTTATCATCAAAATAATGCAGGCAATGCAGGTCTACTAGCACGTAACATATTAATTAATGAATATTTTAATAATTTGCAACAGAATATGTGATAAAATATTAATTTATTTAAAATATAATTTTTTTGTAATGAAGAACACAATAAAAAATCTTACATAAAAATCCTACAGACTAATTTTGTAACATTACATTGTACTTTTTGTAAACATTTTATTACATTTGTAATAATATATAGTAATATTTGTATTTAAGAACTTTCTTTTAATATCACTTTAATATCACTTCCTTACATCTTATTCTTAAGTTTAAATATATATTTTATAGTTTCCAACAATCCGGTATATTACTCTTTTATAATACATAAAAAAAATATTAAAAACTTAAAATGTATCTTTTATATTTAATATTACTCTTTAGTCTTTAATATCACACTTTTTTAAGTTTTTTTTGGATATATATATGTTGTACTTTAGATTAAACTACTTTTATGAACTATTTAGTTTGATTTTATATTCAAAATCGTTTTTTAGAGTAAGTAAAGTAAAAATAAAATTAAATTAAAGAAAATATAAAAAAAATTGTTAAGACAATCTCTCTCTCTCTCTCTTCTCTCTCTCTCTTGAACTTAAGATCGAACTATAAATACCAGCTTATACCTCAGTTTGAATCTTTTAATTAATATTAAAAGGCTGTTGAATAAAAGAACTTGCTTGCAATCTTTTCAACTGTGCCTTTTTAAGTTCTATGTCTAATTCTAAACTCTTTTTCCTTAATTCAAATTCAAATTCATTTTGTTTTTGTTTAACTGCCATTTCTTCCTTTTGAGCTATTAACTGCAACTTTGCAAGCTCCATTTTAATTTCTGCTAAATCACTATATTGTTTAGAAATGTGAGAGCTGTTAAGAGCCATTGTCGATGGTCTACGTCGTCGAGTTATAGTTTTAGATGTATTCGTTTCGTTTTCTTTGGATGATTCTCCTTGATCTTGAAATGTATTACTTTCATTTACTTTTAATGCTGTATGCTTAGATGTTTTTAATTTATCCGGTACATATGTACGCCAATTTAATGTTGGTTTTGTTTTCTTTACTTCCTTCTTGTTTTGCGATGCACTCATATTAGAATTCTACAAATAAAGAGAAGTTATATAAATTATGATTAAATCTATTGTAATTAAATTTATAATTTAAGTAACTGTAGAATATTATAGATTTAGGTACACTATAAGATATAGACTAATTGTTTCATTTACTAAAACTTACAACATCTATATTATATGTTGTGTGTGTATTATTCATTTCCTTCGAATAATCTTCCTCTAGTACTTCATACATACAACATTCTTCCGTATTTGAGTCTGATTCATTGTTGTGATCCATAGTACTGTTAGTCACACTGTCAAGCGTGTTATTTGCATTCGAAACAGAGGTAAATATGTTTGTTGAATCAGAATCAAGTATTATTGTATCAGAATCAAACATATTATTAAGCCCTATAAAGAAAGTACATTTATTAGATATAAAAATGATTATATTATAAAAGAATCAATGTGAAGCAATTACCTTTGACTGTTTTACTATTCATTAATGTTAAAATAGAATCATGCATTGGATCTAGTATTTTGTGTGTTGGTCTTCCACCACCAGTTTTAAATAATTCCATCTTCTCTTGTGCTGCCATTTTTCTTGTCTCTTTCTTCATGTTTTCATAGAACTTTTTTAATGAGTCTGTTGTGCGATAATTCCCATTTGGTGCTACAGCATTGAATTCATTTGTGACTGTTTCCCAAGTGTCATTTTTATCTTTCCATGTTACTTTATCTGTCTTTTTCGATTCTATTATATTTTTATACTTGCTAACAATACTTATTAAAGTAGCTTTTTCTTCTGATGTATAATTTGCACTACGTGCTCTTTTTTTGGTTTGTTCAACTTCTCCTGACATCTTTACAAGTAATAATAAAAAAAATAGTAAGCTTTGTATTTATAGATATATAATATTATATTATTATTTCTTCTAACAGTTAGTAAATAATATATATATTTTAAATTGTATATAATACAGAAATAACTGAAATATATATGATGTATATGTTTTGATATTTACTGCTAATACTACAAATCTGAAATACACATTATGTAAACTAAAGATTTTCAGTACTAACAGTTAATATTAAAACACAGGAATAATTAAAATTTTAATTAAAATTAATTTACATTTTTCTATTTTTCCCAGCAATTCGTTGATATGTGACAATAATGCCCTCAAACTCGCGGTTTGAGGTTATATAATGCCTGAATTGAACAGTTATAATTTATCAAATTTTCATACATTTCACTGTAAATAATATTTATTTTCTCTCAATTTCCTGCTTAATTCGATTAAAAATATACTTTTAATTCTATTCGTTTTTATGTGTAATATACGGAATGTTCAAAGACTGCATTATAAACGCAGCCAATATTAAACATGAAAAGTTACTATCAAAACTTCCAGTTAACTAACTTTAACTTTTATGTCAATCATGCAACGACAGCGAATTTTAAGTAACACTTACTTTAAACTCTTGTTAACTAAGCGAAGAATCACAGTGACGTTGGTGCAATCGGGCCTAAGTGTGGCCAAAATTCGTGGTAATCCCACTTCTGAAGTTGTAAAAGATTCACTGTAGAAGACTGTTGTTAGAATGGTACAGGTGGCACACACTATAAAAGGACTTGTATACGTTTAGACTTAGGTTTATTGCTTCCACACAAATGTCGACCGTATGCGAGAACGATCCTCGTACAAAGACGCTCTTACTCGATTTGAATAAGTCAAGCGGCCAATGATAGCCGCGCGTGGCCTTCCCACGCTACTCGGACCAATCACTCTGCAGTGACGTACTCGCGGGAGCGTCGCATCGCGACAGCGCTTCAGTAGGCTCTTAGTGGAACTAGGTCGGATGGGAGTCGGTAAGAGAGAGGTCCCTTACAATATACATAACATAACCTTAAGGAGATGCTAAAGTCGTCCTGTTTTACCACGATTCGTTTTGAAAAGAAATATCCGAATTGGTTTTACGGATTGCAAAATCCTTTCACAGAGTAAAAGTACGCACGAAAAACTATCCTGGGAAACCTAATTTCACTAGAAAATCGGAAAAAAATTAAAAAATTCACTTTATTCTGACACGTACAGCTATCACTTGAGGTTAAGATTCACTTAATATAAAAGTTTTAGAGATCGCAGATTGCAAATAAATGGTTTGCAGTATTGGGATGACTTGTACGAACAATCCTGAGTTTGCAGATCCAAGATTAAATGCGTAGAAAAAAATATTTCTTTTTAAAACGAAATCACGATCTATGCGAGGATTTGGAACGTCAACAGAGTTTGATAGAGCCGAAATTGCGTTTAGAAGTAGTTCCGCCGTCTTGAAAGAGATGGCATTGTAGAGCATCGGTAAAAACAGGTTGAACGTGATCGTACTTTACCAGAAAAAGTGAATTTTTTAATTTTTTTCCGATTTTCTAGTGAAATTAGGTTTCTCAGGATAGTTTTTCGTGTGTACTTTTACTCTGTGAAAGGATTTTGCAATCCGTAAAGCCAATTCGGATATTTCTTTTCAAATGGAATCGCGATAGAACAGGACCAGGATTGAGCTCGAACACGGTCTAGAGAGAGGGAGAGAGAGAGAGAGAGAGAGAGAGAGAGAGAGAGAGAGAGAGAGAGAGTGTTTTGAAACCCTTAAATTAAATTAAAGAATAACTCTGTGTCCTTGATCGCGCAACGAGTACCCCTCGTGATCGCTCGCGTCAAATGGTGAATGCGCCGCCCCTGCTTACCTTCTGTACGCAGCCCGTAACTCGCTAACTTTATCTTTTAATAACTCAAAAAGTAAGCGTCGGATAAAATTTTCGTAAAGGAAAAATCGTTTCAAAATTTCGTCAGGAATACGCGTTTGCAAGGACACGGGGTCGTTCTGAATCACCCTGTATATAGTACGAAAATACCAAAATTTCATTTTTATAAGCGGTAATTGTTCGTACACGCTCATAACTGGAAAAATATACCAGACATACAAAAATATTATTATTGGTTTGTTCACGTCGCATATCTCAAATAGTACACTCAAGAAGGACAAATGACGTGTACTAATGACGTGTTACTCATTTTTTTAATTAAAAATGTTTATATTAGCTGATAAAAAAAAACATAAACATAAAAAATAAACATTTATATAAGCTGATTTTTTATAAACATTTATATTAGCTGATACCTTTTCGAAATATTTATTGTAATAGAAATTAGAAGCATTTATTCAGACAGTATACTGATTATAATAAAAATTAGAACATCTGTTCAGACAGTAATAATTTTCGCAAAGATAGCCGAATAAACGTTGGCGTGCCGGAATTGGAAACCGCTTGGTAAGCGTCCCGTGTCCCGCGTCCCGCACACCGCCGCGAGCCTCTAAAGCCCATGGCACATACAAAAACGTAAGGCCGTAAAACGTAATCAGTAAGCGAATTGGCCAATCACAGTAAAGACCGTAAAGCCGGTAGCGAATCCAATGTTACGATTTCCTTACTGATTACGTCTTACGGCCTAACGTTTTTCTGTGTGTTTCTGGCACGTCATGACTCGAAAGCGCGGTGGCCGGTGGACGGCGTGGACGGCGCGCTTGCCAGGCTATCCCCGCTCCCAGCGGCCCATACGCTATACGATTCGTGGGAGGGGCGTACATATACGCTTAGCAGTAGTAGGCCGCGCGAACGCGTTTATATACATATATGGTACTATACACATATATACATAAAAAACATGACTTTATTTTACCAGTACACTTGAAACAGAAAATATATTGCCAATGTATCTGTACAATCTCAAATAATAAATATATGTAAACAGTATATGATACAAATCAAGTGTTCTTACGGATAATAAACACAAAAGTCAACAAATTTTGATGACACTGGCAAAATAGACACAAGTAACTACCAGACAATGTCGATTGTAATAAAAATCAGAAGCGTTAGTTCTACTGATTATTACAAAACAAAATTATTTATAAATCAGAATCGAAGAGACGAAAAAATCTATATTGGCTGCGTTCTCTCGAGAATGGGAGTTGGAGAATTTTATTTTCAGTATCATATACATTTTTTATTTTCAGTATCATATACATATAACACAATTTTGGTATATAATTTTAATGTATTGACACAGAAAGTGTACTGTATATGTATAAATATTCGATTATTTATACATAATCAGATTATAATCTGATAATATATTATATATATAATCAACGGTATATATATGTATTCTGCTTATAAATAAGTATAAACGGTATACAATGCAAGTTCGTTCCTCTCGCCCTAACCGCTTGTCTCGCTGGCGACCAAAGATACTTTCTCGACAATCTCGGTCGCTCGACGTATATCAGTATAAGGGACAAAAAAAGATGTTCTAAATAACATATTAGTTTTAATAAATTGTAATAATCATAAAATTTTCACATTAATCCACAATAGCATAAATCATGTCAAAACGAGATAATTTACGAGATATTAATTGTTTATGATTTTCCGTGAACGTCATGTACCCTATTATTCGTAATCGAAATCTGTAAGAACAGCGTGGTCTCGAGCGTAAGGTGCAAGATTAGCATGCTGTAGATTCTGTATTCAAATTAATGCTATTTTTTCCTCTTTTTTGTCATATTTTTATTTTAAATAAGTAAAGTTCTTAATAAACAGCCTAATATATAATTATTAAAGTCATTCGTGTATTTTTAAACCAACAATTATATATTAGGCAGATAAATAATGACTTTACTTATTTTAAAAAAAATTGTGGCAAAAAAGAGAAAAAAACGACAAAGATTTGAATACGGGGTCTACAGCACAATAATCTCGCACCTTACGCTCGAGACCACACTGCATTCTCGAACACAACGTCTACGAATGGGGTACATGACCTGCACGGAAAATCGAAAACAAAATATCTCGTAAACCATCGCGTTTTGACATAATTTATGCTAATGTAGATGAATGGCAGGGTTATGTCATTGATAATATTTATCGAAAGTTATGTATTATCGAGAATATATAATATTTTTGTCCCTTATAATGATATTCGTCGAGCGACCGAAATTGCCGAGAAAGATCTTTGGTCACCAGCTCGACAAGCGAATTCGGCGCGGGGAGCGGAGGGGGGAGGGAAGCAAGCAGGCTCTGATCGTTTGTTTTCAAGTACGCGACACTGAAAGTCTTCTCGGCAATCTCGCGGACTCGCGGCCGTTTGACGTACTTACATGGTTTTGTCTTCATAAATAAAAATTATCATAAACCTCCAATCGGTCGACAACGGAATTAATTTTGACATTTATATTGACCTTCCTATATCTTATTTAAGAATTTTTTTATCTTGACTACAATGTAACACCTGTTGACATTTTAACCGATTGGAGGTTTATGACAATTTTTGACTACTATGAAGACAACCATGTACTATAGCGGTGAGTAACATCTGGATTCCTTGTCGTTAGCAAATTAGATAATAAATTTTTCAAACTTATAAATATATTTCAGCATAATCAGATCTGTAAATTTCAATCAATGAAAAAAAATTTCCATCATTTGTTGTGGTCAAAGTTACAATTTAATGTTTAAAAA